AAGCAAAAACTGAAATACTATCAGTTTCACCTTTCCAAATATAATTGTATTCAAAGCTTTTTTTTCCTTAGGCAGATCTTAAGGCAAACAGAATGATCTCTAAGGAAAGATGAAACCTAAATTATGAAAGAGAATTTGAACATATTCAAATTTCCCAAAGGAACATATTTTAGATTAAATGTATTCATCCCTAAAATTAACAGTTGCATTAAAAAGGAGAACATTGAGAAGGCTTTTGAAGACAGGAAAGAAACCCCACATAAACTCTAACTCAGAAAAAGTGAAAAAACGCCTTCTTACGAAGGCAATGTCTATCCATTTAAAATAAAACATATTTTAGATCAATTGTATACAGCCTTAGTGTTTTTTGTCCACTATCTGTTTGTTTTCCATGATGATTTAATTTTAACAGAAATTTTGCTGCCTCCAGAAAACGATGCAGAAAAATTCACAGAAAATATGTGAGACTGAACGAAAAAGACACTGTTTAAACAGAGTAACATCTTCAGTGATCACTTCTCTGCCTCCATTAGATTTACACGCTCAGTGGCAAAAGGAAGACAAAGCAATGAAAAATTTCTACTTCAGTTAAGCATCTGACCTCAGGTTCCTCCTCCTTAGCAACTAAAAATCCAAAGCATTGTGATTATTTACTTGTTCCACTACAGTAGAATTGGATCCTATGTACTCATGCTTAGCTGGAGAAAAACTCCACCCCAGCTCTAAATATACTAATGTTATTGAAAACTGGGATGCTGTCACATGCAATTTAGTGCAATTAACAAAGAATAATAAACAATCTACCTAAGAACAAAACATGTCAAAAGTCAACTCAAGTATTTTATAGTGTCTATCTGGTTTGAGCAGCGAGGTTTTGGTAGCCGGGTGTTACAGGGGTGGCTTCTCTGAGATGCTGCCAGAAGCTTTCCCTGAGTCTGACAGAGCCAATGCCAGCCGGCTCCAGCACGGACCCGCTGTTGGCCAAGACTGAGCTCATCAGTGACGGTGACAGTGCCTCTGGGATAACAGACTTAAGAAAGGGCAAAATTGCTGTGCAACAGAAATTGCAGCCAGAGAAGAGGAGTGAGAATATGTGAGAGCAACAGCTCTGAAGATCCCAAGGTCATTGAAGACGGAGGGCTAAGAGGTGCTCCAGGCACTGGAGCAGAGATTCCCCTGCACCCCAAGGTGAGACCATGGTGAAGCAGGCTGTCCCTCTGCAGCCCATGGAGGTCCACTCTGGAGCAGATATCCACCTGAGCCCCTGGAGGACACCCACATTGGAGCAAGTGGATGCCTGAAGGAGGTTGTGACCCCATGGAAAGCCCATGTTAGAGCACGTTCCTGGCCTGCTCCAGGCCTCCTCCTGTTGCCCTGTGGAGAGAGAAGCCCATGCTGGAGCAAGTTTGCTGACAGGACTTGTGTATCCACGGAGGACTAACACCAGAGCAGCCTGTTCTTGAAAGACTGCACCTCGTGGAAGGGACCCACGTTGGAGCAGTTCAGGAAGAACTGCAGCCCATAGGAAGGAATCACACTGGAGTTCATAGAGGACTGCCTACCATGGGAGGGACCTCACAATGGAGCAGGTGAAGAATGTGAGGAGTCTTCCCTCTGAGGAGGAAGGAGTGGCAGAGAATGTGTGATGAACTGATCACAGATTCCCAGTCCCTCTGTGCCACCGGTGGAGAGGAGGTAGAGAATTTGTGAGTGAAACTGAGCCCAGGAAGAAGAGGAGTGGGGGAATGTGCTTCTCAGATTTGGTTTTATTTCCTGTTATCCTACTCTAATTTGACTGGTAACAAATTAAACTAATTTCCTCCAAATTGAGTCTGTTTTGTCCCTGACAGTCATATCACTTTGAATGTAAAGTTCAAAGGTCCAAAGTAGACCAGTATGACTCAGACAACACACAGAACTTCACAGTGAGGAACAGAATCCAACTTTTTATATTTCTTGCAGAAAAAAAGCTAACAGCCATTAAATTCATTATAATAGGGGTAGTAATTAGGTATTGAGAATAAAGAAAGAATGTTCTATTAGAACTGAACTGTGACTCTGTGTGTGTGTTTTATGCCACTGAATTCACATGGCAGGGGGTGTGTGTGTTTGTTTTATGGCACTATTTCATGTTGATCAAAAGGTCTAGTGACACATAAAAAAAAAAAACAAAAAAGAAAATGTGTGGTTAAATGTCAAGTAGAGTGTGGGCTGAGAAACAAAATATGCTACTACTACAATGCTCATGACATTATCATAAATCAAACATGATTTGACTTACGATAAATAAAAGCTTATTAAGAAGTTATGTATCTGTGATTGTTAAAATACATTTTGCTGTGTGCAGGATTTAGTGCAATAAAGTCAGCTTGTATCAATGATTTGATTTTGGAAGCCTTCTCTAGTATTACAGGTATTACAACGACAAGTAATTTAAGACAAGAACCCAGGTCTGGTTTCTATTCAGAATAAGATTTGTAAACTCAAAATATTTGTTCAAGGATTTTGTTTGTTGTGCAAAATGCATCAAAACAATGAATCTGCAGATAAAGCACCATTCCTACAAGCTAGGGTGGTTGAGCATTTCCACTCCTAAACTGAGTGACTGCTAAACTTCTACCAGTGAGTCAGGACTTTCCACACCAGATGGCTGCATCACGATCAATGCCTTTATCTTTTGAAAAAAAATTTATTTGTACAGAGTTTCAGGAAAATAGTTTGGCTACTGCCATGAATGTAAAGAACAAGTTGTCTTACTCCCACAAAATAATATGAGCAGCAATAACAATCACCAGCAGCTAAAAATCATTTTATAATATAAGTCCTTGAAATTTATATAATGGCACAAACTATGTCCTGGTGTTAAAGAGCTCTGGTTTTACATTTCAGCAACAATCTAAAATATATGCTTCTGAAATTTGCATTATAGATTTAGGTAATAAAATTCTTCAAAGATTCCATCCTTCCTATGCATTTTCTATTCCCACATAATGCTGCTGTGCCAGTAGGATTACATAATTCATTATGCTTGCCTAGAAACTCAATGCAACCTATTCCAAGTCTCCTTAGCATGAAGAGGATCTCGTCTGCAGCTTCTTCCTCCAGGAGAGAAGCAGTAACAGCTGAAAGCAACGAGCTTCTCAGTTCTCAGCTACCTTGGTATTCTGGAGAGGAATAGAAGAGTCTCCCAAGAAATGACAAATCTTGCGTAGAAGAGGGGTGGGAATTTCTAAGAAACTGGTATAAGACAGTGGGACTAGGAAAACATGAAGGGAGAGGGAAAGAAGCAATGATTTACTGCAAAGGAATGATGGTTTATCCTGTCCTTATCCAAGCCATATTAACTACCCAGCAGTGCTGGGTGAAAGACCAAGTAAAAGTCCATTCAACTCAAATCAGAATGAACAAAGACTGACTTCAGGACCATATATACAGAAACCATCTTATGGAAGTCAAGAGTTGACCTGATGCTAATTCCTATTTTTCTTAATACTCCTGCAGCACTTACCACTCTGGACTATAGATACTGCAGTCCTAAATTGTGAATTTAAAGGGAATGCATTAACAAAGTTCAGATACATGTTAAAGGACCTGCCAAATAAAAACAGGACTGGAAATGTCACTCTCATTATAAGATCTATCATAAAGGCCTGCATGAATTAAATGAAGCAAACAGCTGAGGCTACAGTTCTGGAAAAACAATCTTATATTCTTTGTACTTCATAAACATGTAGTTTCATTTTTTTCCTCTTAATACATCAGGCTCACTCACTACTGTATTTTTATATGTTTTTTTTTACACACTTGCATATACTTTGCACACAAATGTATTAATACTGGCTTTCTTACGACTGTCAGCACTACTTCCCCTCAGGGTATCCCAGAGTTTTATAAACATTTATGAACTTCCATCAGATTCCTATAAGATACTGGTATTTTGTTAGCCCCATCCAACAAGAACCCCCCGTTGCTAGCCCCATCCAACAAGAACCCCCCGTTGCCTGAAGCAGGGAGATTCTGTGGCACATGTACCTACTAATTCTGAGTGCCCCTTTCCTTGACATTGTTTGGTTTTTGCAAACTTATTTATAAACAGAAATCCCAATCACTTGTACTACGATTTTTTGTTCTGCCCTTCTGCATGTCAAGCACTCAGTCCCCAAATGATGACAAAAAATTAATGATCATCTGGAAAGAGATGTGACTTGTGACAGCCTTGTGGCTTTAAATGCAGAGAAGTTCCACAGTTTAGGAAAAAGCTTGTCTCTCCTGAAGTCATAGCCAAAAATTCCATAGAAATGAATGGGATCACTGCCTACAGAGCAGCAATGTCCTAACACTGGCATTTCCAGTTCCAGTACTTGGATTAATAGATTCAGAAGCAGTAATGAAAATGAGGAAAAGATACTGATTTGAGATTGCTCTCTTGGATTCCAGGAAACACTGATACTTTAGACTCACCTCTCATTCCTTAATATGGAAAAAAATCAGAGGTATTTCTGTCTGACCTTTACATTAAGAAGTAGAAAAATGGATGAAAGACATGAAGGTATTTGTGTAAGATCTTCCAGGAAGCTTGTCTCCCCCTTCTGAAATCTGAGTTTTGCTATAAGAAAATGAATAGAGCAACAAACATAGGAAAATTCTGTAACTTTTTCTCCTAAGAATCAATTTTTATTGGTTACAGAACTTCAAGGAATTTGTCCTCTACTCTCCAAAAAAGCCCATCCCATTAGACAGACATGTCAAATGAATTTCACGCTCCACTTTAACTGAGAAAAATAAGAACACAGAGGTCAAACAAGTAGAATCCCCAGTCCCCTTCCACCTCTCATATGGAGTCATTTTCTACTGGGAAACAAAAAATTATTCTCTCCTGGAACTGAATGAGAAGGCAGACCCGTCAGTCAGTAGCCAACATATGATTCAGCTCAGCTTTTCAATAAGTTACAAAAATTCCAAAAGCCACCAAAAAAGGGTTTTTGAATGAGAGGGCTGCCTCTTTCTAACTCTTTTGAAATGCCTGCTGAACACTTCTGTGAATCATGCCTGCTGCAAGAGGAGCACATCTGAGTTAAGAAAGCAGGGATTTTTGGTGACAGCTGGCAAGCAGACACTCCCTCTGTTGAGGGACAGCTTTCATTCAACTAAAAGGTAGGACAAACACCAATTCCTCTAGAAGGACACTGAAAAGGATCTAGATTGATGATTAAAATACATAGAACTACAACTCTCCCTCAACATTAGTGTTTTTAAAGGAAAAAATCCAACAGTGTTTTCTAAAAAAAAAAAAAAAGTTGATTATAGATGCCTCATAAGATATGCTAATTTTTGCTTATATGCTTATATTTTATGATTATACTAGCAAGTGCTGAATAATTGAGTAATAAACACTAGCTGGAAAAAGACATTCCATTCAAAATGCTAAAACAGCACTAAATATTCCACTCATGTTAAATTCAGTGCTTGAATTGCAGAATGATTTAGTTGTGCCTTCAAATGTTTTCAATACTCCTTCATGCAATGTACACAATCAGAAAACTATTGCTGCCGTAATTCACTCGCATTTCCAAGAGGATGCATTTTGAATAGGGGTTTTGTCCTACTTGTTAAGTCAATTGAAAGAAATACTACTTGGCTCCCATATTTATCATATGTTAGATTTTTACTAGCCTGATCACTTAACAAATTACTAACAATGAATATCTCCTATATGTTCAAAAGACTTCAGTTTAAATTATTCCAGAGTAGCCTTATAACACAATAGCAATAGGTAAAATTGCTTGAGCTTTACAAAAATGTGGGAGTTGCACAAAAGCACTGAAAAATTAGACTGAAAACAAATACTTAATTTTCTTTAATCTGTTTTGATGTCTGCTCTTCTTGTTTTAATTTGTTGGAAATGTATCTACATAAAAAAAAGTGCAAAAATAGGGTTATAAAAATTATCATTTTTTGAGGAGGAAGCATCTTTAAGACTGAGGCTGCATTGAAAACTGTCTCTAATTTTTTTTTCCTTTAAACAAGATTTGAAAAGATACCTTGCTTAAAAGTGTTTTTTTCCTACCTTCCAAGATTTCCTTTTAAAGGATTTATCTATTTTTAGGCAAAAGGGGAGGAAATGCTTCAGGTATTTTTCACAGTCCACACAGTAACATTTAATTAATAATTTTTACTCCATAATCCTACTTTGAACTTAGGCTCCTCAGCAGCCAGTTGTGGTGCTTACCTTATTTTACTTAAAAGTTTAAGATTTGAAAACTGTCTTTTGAAGGGACAAAAGTTAACTTTGAATGCAGATTCCAGATGACTCCCATCATGCCAACTATTACAGCTGCACACAATGAACACAGCTAGAATCAGCTGAAACATTTTCAGAGTACTCATCTCAATAAAGTGAAAAATCCTCTTATCAGAGAGTTACTTTGTTATACATTAATAAGGAAGAGCCCAGGTTTGGCATAGGAAGCCACCAATACCACTTCTTACAGTTCATATTTTATCTCATATTTTAAAGTGCAAGTGTGAGCTTATCTGCCAAACACCTTCTTCACACTTGAAATTAAGTAATTCATGGTGATAACTCATTAGCTTGCTCAGTATTAACAAGTATACTTCACACCTAACTGCCTGGCAGATGACTATATTTTTTACAGTATATATATATACATATTATATATTATATATTATATATTATATATTATATATTATATATTATATATTATATATTATATATTATATATATGTATCCTATAGATACTATATCTCTTAGTGTATTTACTTAAACACATTTGACTCAGTTGTACTACAGCTTTTGTTATCAGAGATTCTCGGAGGTATCTCAACCTTGTGCAGGAACTTACACAGCAGGACACAGATAACTCAGCATGCCCCAAAACCCATCTGTCAAAACATAAAAGCTGTCACAGCCACAAGTCTCAATTATGCTCTGCAGACTTTCTATATAGAAGGAGCAGGGAAGGCAGACAATCAAGGACAGAATACAAATGCTAGGTTTGTTTGTTAACTTTGAAATTTAAGGAAAATTAAAATCTTAATGCTGTTTTGTGTTTGTTTAAAGAAATGAAGTCCCTGAAATTTGAAACATAGGGCTTTATGAAGGCAAGAGGTCAGGGCAAATATATTTCAAATCCATGCATATGTCTAGGAGAGGGAAATGGATGCTTGCAATAGAAGCTGATGTTGACTCAGGGTCCATTTTGCTGCAGAACCTCCCATCTCTCCAGTCTTCCTCCTCCAAACTCCTCTCCTCTAAAACCTCTGTCTTCACTTCTTTTGTCCCGGTTCCTCACACATCTAATCTTCCCTATCCCAGAGTGCCAATACTTTGCCTCTGAAAGTTCCACCCTCCTAATGTTCTCCCAAAACCTCTTGCTTTTCCCCCCTCTACATCCAGTTTACAATCCTTTTGGAAAAAAGAGAATAAACTAGACTACACTACACTAGTTCAGCTGGAAGGGACTTACATTGATCATCCAGTCCAACTGCTTTATAGTTTCAGATCTGAACAGAAATTAAAGCGTGTTATTAAGGGCATTGTCCACATGCCTCTTAAAAACTGACTGATTTGGGACACTGACCACCTCTTTAGAAGCTCATTCCAGTACTTGACTAAATTCTTGGTAAAGAAATGTTTCTTTATGTCAAGTCTACACCTACCCCGAGGTGCTACTGTCAAACTCTCTCCCACGGAAGCTTGTGGCATCCAAGTTCCCTCCCAAAATAATTCTTTTCCTGATCCACTCCTTCCAACTCCACACTGCACCTGAAATCTGCACATATCAAACCCCACCTTTCACCAGGTCAGTCTTGTAGCTTGTGACACTGGAATTATTCAGTGTTGCTCAGTATGTTCACTGCTTTTTGTGTTTCTACTTCTGTATAACAATATAAAAACACTGAAGACACTTTAAGAAAATGAACAGCACTTCTGAAGTCAGGCATGTCCCTTACCTTACTGGGGCTGATTCAGGGCTCAAGACTGAATATTAACATTGGTGCTTCAGAAAAGCCAATTAACAGTTTTTTATCCAAGCATTTCCAGTCATACTGACAATACAAGTTCTGTAGCGGATCTCTTTAAGGAGATCCGCTCAATCAAGTCATCCTGCATCCCAGCATGTTCTTAGGAACTCCTCAACTGTGAGGTAGAGTATCCAAGAGCTCTGCTGAAGGTAGTCATCACCTGCAAAGATCTGTGCACTGACTGTGAAACCTGCTCCCATGCTTATCCCATGCTTATCCAGGCTGGAGCAGTATTAAAAACAGAGAAAGCTGGACAGCACTCCATAGAAAATGTCCTTGCTTTATGCCTAAGTTGGTATTGTCTTTCAACAGCATGTCTTCCAATACATTAAGAATTCAAAAGCACTTACTTTTTAACACATTTTAACACATTTTTGCATATAAAGCAGCCAAACACATTTTCAAATGTAACATGAAAATTTTTATTCGGGCAGAAGACCTAAGCTGCTATTACAAAGAGACCACTCTTCATTTTAAAATGGATGTGCCAGAAATCCCTCCATGATTCAGCACACAGACTTCCTAAAATCAAAGGCTCAATACTGTGGTTGGTAAAAGAGTTTAGCATGTCTTGCCATGAAAATTGATAATTCTGCCATTTAAAAGCAGCTTGGAGGAAAAAAAGTATGCATTTTAAAAACTGTGGCCTAAATTACAAATCAAAAGAAAATATCCTTAATAATATAAAATGGAGTGAGAGAGAAATGTACTAGACAAGATTGTTTCTCCTAAACACAGACATTGCTGATGGAGATTTATTTTCCCCTTTATTTTTCAGTTAGTTACTGAAAACAATTTTTAAAGAATCAGCATATTTTCCATTTGTAGCCTAAAGGATCTCCAATGTGTATGAGCGCACACGAGTCAAAACTTCAGATTTTCACTTATCTTTCTATTCTGCCAGGCCTTGACTTATTTACAGTGCATTACAACTTCAAGCTATGCTCTCAATTTATTTCAAGCTATTATATGAGGATATAATGAGTAGAGTTTACTAATACATTTAGGGAATGGATTGACATAATAAAATTAACCTTATATGTAACTGCATTTAGGAATCACCAAATTAACATAATTTTATCAAATATTCTTTGGTTTTGGACATCATTTTTACATGACAAACTTTTTCTTTAAAATGCTTCCTATCTGGTGCCCATGTATTTTTTTATAGCTTCTTTTCAAACTTTGTGACTTTCTGCAAGCATACGGGAAATAGCAGATCTCAAGCCTTTTCCTTGTTTCTATCATTTTCCAGTGGCCTTGGTCATATCTTTAAGTTCTAAATCACATATCAACGTCCCACATTCAATTCTTCACAGTTAAGTTTATAATTTATTACCAATCACATCAGCAGTTCTAAGTGATGAATTTTAATTTTTAGTACTTTCCAAGAAACAGCATTAGAGCTATTTATTTTTTCATTAAGTAATTCTCTGGGTCAAGTTCAAAGCATAAGTGTATTTCATGATTCTGCCCCAAGATTATGAAAAGTTTGAGAAATTTGTCTTACTGTGCCAAATCTAAACTAGATTAAGAATGCAATTAATTGTTAATTATTTGGAAGAGGATATGCTTACTAAAGCAATTTAGATAATCTAAATGATTCTGTGATTGCTTTCCTCACTGATTGATCAGTGATTTTTCCTCAACTTTTATTAATCTTAAAGCACTCACTGCCTTGCTGTCTCCCCATAGCTTGCAAAAGCTTAATTACTCTTCCCTAACGTTTCATTTTCATTTGAAATAGTCCACTAATGTTCATTCACTACACAATTCTGGGAAAGGTTACTTTCCAACCTTTTATAAATACTATTCCCCTTGAACGACAAAATGTAATTTTAAACATTCCTTTCACTGGAGTACATTTTGCCTGCTTTGACTGAGGGGTAGGAGAAGTGACATTATCGAAAAACTGACCATAGCCTGGAAAATTGCAAAAATAATTCCAGTAGCAAATACTACAGTGGTACCTTATATTTTACAACTTGCAGTATTGTCTGCTCTCTTGCAGTCTGGGTGGCATGGCTGGTCCACATCAGCCATGATACAGTCCTCCACTCTTGTCTCTGGACTGTATCACCACAGGTACCACATACACATACTGGCCC